TCAAACGAAGGAGTTGATTGGAACGGAAGCTGGGAAAGACGGACTATATTATTTTAGCAATTCAGATTCGGTGAATTATGTTGATGTGGGTGACGCAAGGTTGACCTTGGAGTTGTGGCATCGTCGAATGGGTCATCCCTCTGAAAAAGTGGTTAAGTTACTTCTTCATGTCAGTGGAAACAAACATAATCTTGCTAAAGGGTGTGAGGTATGTACGCATGCTAAACATCCTAGGGATAAATTTCCTTTGAGTGATGGTAGAGCATCTAGGATTTTTGAGAAAATACATTGTGATTTGTGGGGTCCGTATCAACATGTCTCGTTGTGCGGAGCTCGTTATTTTTTTACTATCGTTGATGATTATTCCCGAGCTGTTTGGATTTACTTGTTGGTTGATAAAACTGAGGTGTTTCGAATGTTTTTAGCATTTTTTGCAATGGTTGATAGGCAATTTTCTCAAACTATTAAAATTGTGCAAAGTAATAATGGTACGGAGTTTAATTGCTTGTATGATTATTTTAGTGCTACTAGTATTATTTTACAAACCTCTTGTGTGGAGACTCCACAGCAAAATGGGAGGGTTGAGAGAAAACACAAACACATTCTTGAAGTTGGGAGAATTTTGAGGGTTCAAGCCAATTTGCCTATTTATTTTTCGGGGGAGTGTGTCCTTGCCGCTGCTCATCTAATTAATCGTACACCCACTCCCTTGTTACAAAATAAAACTCCATTTGAAATTTTGTTCAACAAACCACCTTTATTTGATGCTCTCCGTACTTTTGGATGTCTTTCTTTTGCTCATAATCAGAAAACAAATGGGGACAAGTTTGCAAGTCAGAGTAGGAAATGTATTTTTGTGGGATATCCTTTTGGGAAGAAAGGATGGAAATTGTATGATGTTGAGTCGAAAAATTTCTTTGTCTCTCGTGATGTCAAATTTATTGAAGAAGTGTTTCCGTTTAGATGCCCTGATGATGTGAATATAGTGACCACGAATTTTTCCACTAATGGTGATATCAATAAGGATTTCTTGGAGTATGGCTATTTGGATGTGCCGGAAGCCAATTTAGGTGCCGAAAATGGTGTATATGGGGAGGATAATGAAGCTGCCCCTACCACAAAGCTTGCGGCAGACCAGGCAGGGAGCTCCGCAGCCACCCCGCAGCAGACTACCATAGACCACGAGGGGGTGCGCGGAGGCAGCAGGAAGCACCACGCAGGGTGGCAGTAGCTCAGCAGGGGCAGAGTTGTACGACAGTAGCACGGCAGCGACTGAGCAGCACATCAACAATAACTTAGCGACGGCCGATCAGGTTGAGGGTTCTTCCCTACAAAATCAGGGGGTCGAACTCTTGGGAAAAGGACATCGTGAAAAAATTCCTTCGGTAAAGCTTCGTGATTATGTAACTCATTCCGTTTTTGCTAATAGTCCGTCTTTGTCCTCTCCGTCATCCAATACTCCTTCAGGTACGCCTTATCCTTTGGCACACTATATAAATCGTGACATGTTTTCTGTAAATTATCGCAAATTTCTTGCAGCTGTTGTTTTGGGAAAGGATCCAAATCCTTTTAGAGAAACCATGAAATCTGAAGGTTGGCAACGTTCTATGAAAGAAGAAATAAGGGCATTGGAAGATAATGGGACTTGGACATTGGAACATCTTCCTCCCGGCAAGAAAGCTCTAGGTTGTCAATGGGTGTATAAGACAAAAATTTTGTCTAATGGTGATATTGAACGTCTCAAGTCTCGTTTGGCTGTGTTTGGTAATCATCAACGAGAAGACATTGATTATGGTGAGACCTTTGCTCCGGTTGCAAAGATGACTACTATTCGCGCTTTTCTTGCTATAGCCGTTTCAAAAAACTGGGAGATTCAGCAGATGGATGTTCACAATGCTTTCCTACATGGTGATCTAGAAGAAGAAGTGTACATGAAATTACCCCCAGGTTTTGAGAGCTCGGATTCGAGTTTGGTATGTCGTTTGAGAAAGTCTTTATATGGGTTGAAACAAGCTCCGAGATGTTGGTTTGCAAAACTCACTACTGCTCTAAAAGGGTATGGTTTTATAAAGTCTTACTCTGATTATTCTCTTTTCACATACACTAAAGGCAATGTTCAGATTAATGTCTTAGTTTATGGTGATGATCTTATTATTTCTGGGAATGATTACGCTGCATTAAATGTGTTCAAAGCGTATCTTGGTGATTGTTTCAAGATGAAGGATCTTAGTCCTTTAAAATATTTTTTTGGGCATTGAAGTTGCACGCAGTAAATCAGGTTTGTTTTTGTGTCAACGAAAATACACCTTGGATATTGTTTCTGAAGCAGGGCTATTAGGTACGAAACCAAGTGGTTTTCCAATTAAGCAGAACCACAACCTAAGTCTTGCTAGTGGTGAGTTACTTGAGTATCCTGAGTCTTATCGTAGATTGGTAGGGCGGTTGATTTATCTCTCGGTGACTAGACCGGATTTGGCATATTCGGTTCATATTCTTTCACAGTTTATGCACGAGCCTCAGATTGACCATTGGGATGCAGCTCTCAGGGTGGTTCGATATTTAAAAGGTACCCCAGGACAAGGTATTTTGTTAAGTGCAGATAGTGACCTGACTTTGCAGGGATGATGTGATTCAGATTGGGCGGCATGTCTTCTTACTCGTCGTTCGTTGACCGGTTGGCTTGTGTTCCTTGGAAAATCACCTATTTCTTGGAAAACCAAGAAACAGCCCACAGTTGCCACATCCTCTTCTGAGGTTGAGTACCGTTGCATGTCTTCCACCACACATGAGTTGAAATGGTTGAAGGCCTTGCTTTTGAGTTTGGTGTTGAACACCCTAAGGCGATTAAGTTATTTTGTGATAATCAATTTGCTTTATATATAGCTCGAAATCCTGTTTTTCATGAACGTACGAAACTCATTGAGATTGATTGTCACATTGTTCGTGATGCCATTACAGAGGGCTTAATTGATCCTTCCTATGTTTCCACTAAGGAGCAACTTGCAGATATTTTCACTAAGGAGCTTGGGAAGTCTCAGTTTGATCATCTTCTTTCCAAGTTGGGCATCTACAATCCCCATGCTCCAACTTGAGGGGGGGGGGGGTATTGAGGATATTATATTTTAGGAAAATATATGATAATATTTGGTGGCCATATTTTGTGCCTAGAATATATCTTTTGATATCTTTGTGATATTTCCTAATTTTATCAGATTAGGGAAACCTTGTATTATATATTGGCGATGGTCGTATCAATGAAAATCAACGTATCACATGGTTATTCCAAAAAAAAAAAATTAAATAAAAAATAGAAATTCCAAAGAGCAATACTATTGCATAGCGGAAGCAAATTTATGAATCCCACCGGTGGGTTTAATAAACCCACCGGTAGGGGGATAATTTGTGTGAACGGTCCCAAGATTTTAACCTGCTCTTGATACCATGACAAATTATTTATGAAAGAATAGCTTTTAATTGTATTGATGATCTTGGCTAATATTTATAGCGTACAAAAGATAACCTACACAATATAAAGTCTATCATATAAACTTCCATAAATCTATTTTAGAATATCAGTAAGATATATTATTATCCTAAATATAATATCATAAGATCTATATGAAAAATATATTTTCCTATATTCCTATCAGTAAGTTTCAATTCTCTTTGCTAGTTTTAACCTGCAGTCATTGTTTATCTCGAGGTTTTCAGTTCATTTGGCAACTTTTGGTTCACAATTCAATAAGAATTTGGTAAAATTCTTTTGAATGTCCAAGCTCCGAGTTAAATGGCATGGTTAGAGGCATTTATGGTTTTATCATTCACTTCATTCTACCTCTATGGGTAAGTGTATGTGGGTTTGTTTTGGCGTGTTGCCTTAGCTACAACACACATGGTTTTCCTTTTGTTGTTTGGTTTGATTTGGTGTGTTTGGTTGTATTTGTTTTTATTAGTTTTTACTCTCTTATTAGGTTGTAATTTGTGTATTTATGAAGTTCTCTCTGTTAAAAAGAAAAAAAAAAAAAAACTCACTCTATCTAAACTATTTACTTAATTATACTATAACTAGCTAGTTCACACTAATTTTGCAAAATTACTAGTGAGATAGTCAATGCCCCATATTTTATTTAAATATAAAATGAAAAGATTACCTCACGACTTCACGTTAAGTTTAAAGTACGTGGCTTGGGGAGTATCCGAGTATGTGTTGTGCTGAGAAGTGAGAATAGAAAAGTATTAAGTACTAATTGTTTTGATACTAAAACCAACCCTTTTCTACTCAAGGCCAATAATAATAGATAAATTTGTTAGAAAGGTACTTATATTTTCACTTTTTTGTGAAGAAGGACTTTATATGTTTAAAGTGGTGAAAAAAGGCCTTATAAGTCACTTTTGTTGTGAGGAGCTGAGGGACCTTGACATCGAAATATGACCGTTGACTTTACTTTTCCGGTGTTGACCATCACTCACGTGGCACATGATGTTTTAAAAAGACCTTTTCATTCATTATTTCCCCATTTTTTCACATTTTCTCTCTTACTATCCCCAAATTTTCTCTCAAAATCCCTTCTCTTTCCTTAAAATTAAGAAGGGAATGACAATTTTAAAACATCAGGTGCATATTATATGATGGTCAATGCCGGAAAAGTGAAGTCAGCGGTCATATTCCGATGTTAAGGTCCCTCCTCACAACAAAAGTAACTTATAAGGACCTTTTTCACCACTTTGAACATATAAGGTCCTTTTTCACAAAAAGGTAAACATATAAGTACCTTTTAGACAAATTTTCCATAATAATACTACCTCTAATTTTTATTATTTGCAACTTTAGAGTATTATTTGTGAAACATAATATATTTTAAAGTTTAAAATAATAAAAATCAAAGGTAGTTTTTGGAATCATATCACAACTCACTAGGAAAAGTCAAGACTTACTTCCACATATCCCATGTATATATAGAGTTAACACTAACTCTATAAAATCATACAATTCAATAAAACTCTTAACACTATATATTATTACAAACAATTAAGTTCGAGCTGAGATCGAAATGGAGGCTCTTTGGGTAGTATCAATACTCTTCATCATTTCATATTTTATACTTTACTTTTTTAAAAACCAAGCACCAAAAAATCTACCACCAGGACCTCCAAAGTTACCTTTGATAGGCAACCTCCGTCAAATTGCATCCAAAACCACCCTTCCCCACCGCCGCCTCGCCGAGCTAGCAAGTGTGCACGGCTCTATCATGCACCTCCGACTAGGGGAAGTTCCTACGGTGATCATTTCCTCGGCGGAGATGGCGAAAGAAGTGTTGAAAACTCATGATGCTTTACTTTGTAGTAGGCCAGCAGTGTTTTTGGGAGAAGTAGTGTTCTATAATTGTGGTGACATCGCTTTTAGCCCCTACGGGGAACATTGGCGCCAACTCCGTAAAATCGCCACCCTCGAGCTCTTTACCACCCGCCGTGTCCAGGCGTTTCGGCCCATAAGAGAGGAGGAGGTGGTGGATCTTGTCAAGTTTTTAGCTTCTAAGTCTGGCTCTGTGGTTAATCTTAGCAGCCGGATTTTTACCCTCCTGTTTGACATCACTTTAAGGTAATTTTTGTTAGAGTATGCCCTACTTCACTTACTTCATTTTTACTCAATTGAAATTATTTTTAAATCGAAATTAGTTTTGTTGAACATAAATTATTAATACTGAGCTAATATTAATTTTTTTTTATATACAGATTTATTCATAAATAAATAGTCATATAACATCTGATTTAAATCTAATAAATATATGACAATCGGATAAAATGAAAAAAAAAAACCTTTCAGCCGAGCTACGATCGTGGTTGCAAATTGTACATTCTTCATGCCTTATTTCATATCACTGTGATTTACAGCCTTCTTCGTTAAGGGGATCTATTGATTAGATTTGTTTGCAGTTGTGAAAAAAAAAAATTAAAAAAAATACAAACTTCATATTAATTAGTTTTTTTATTTTTCATTTTGAAATTTATCCTTCTATATTAAGGTAGATTATTCATTTTGAAAATTATCTTTCTATATTTGTTTGTTTTTTCCCTGTTACATGTAGAGTTGAATGTGATAGAGTATAAAACATACTCCTGGGCCTCAACCATCAACTTAAGTTTTTGGTTGAGTTGGTCCTCTAACAGAATGTTCCGTACTTATTTCAGTTTATATATTAGCCGATATCTTATAAGTTGTATAACAACAGAATGGTAATGAACAAGAAAGGCAAAAATTGTGAAGAGTTTAAAACACTTGTAGAAGATATTACAGCGATTGCTCAGGGCCTTTCAATTGGTGACTTATATCCATCATTGAAATTTATAAGCACCATTAGTGGGTTGAAAGGGAACCTTCAAAGGATAGTCAAAAGAATTGACAAGTTTGTTGATCCTATAATTGAAGAGCATTTGTCTAATAAAAAACAATGTATTGAAGACGAAGATATGATTGATGCTCTTCTAAAATTTCGAAAGGACAACGTGCGTCTTAATACCGATTTTTCTCTTACTACCAGCCACATCAAGGCAATGATATTGGTAAGTTGGACTATATTTTTCACTTTTGGTTGTTTGAATTGGAGTTTTATTTAACATTTAATTAGTGATTCTTATTTCTCTCTCTCTCTCTTTTACTTGACCTGCTTTGACTTTTACACTATTCACCACCCCTCCTTTGACCGTCTTTTATAAATAATATGTAAGGAAAAATATATTTATGTATGATCTTTTTGGATTCGTCTCAATAAGTACTATCATAATATATAACTTTTGTAATTTTTACTTATGGAGAATTTAAGTTATTGATCATTAAAGTTTTGCATTAGCAAGCGTGATAAAAGAAACAGGTTAAGTAAAGAAAAACAGAGAAAGTGTATATTAACCCAAAGATTACAGAGTAAAAGAGAAACTAATTAAACTATAATGATTGTCAAAAAAAAAATTAAACTATAATGGCTTTCATTTGCTAGCAAATGAGCTTTGCGTACCTTTTCTCTATCTACTTTGAGAATATTGCAACATTGAAAATTCCTATCCAGTTTCCTAATTTATAGAATAGTCCAAAAGATACCAATATCAGTAATATCTTCTTTCCACAAGAAATTGATTAAGTTCATTGAACATCTCTATAATGTATGTTTGTTCCACAGTATATTCCAATACTTTACTTGGTGTAAATTTTAATATCTACTCCGTAGTAAAGATAGATTAAGATGATATTTTTTCAAAATTATGCAAGATTTATGGAATTCTCAAAAAATATTAATTTAATGTTGTATAAATTAAAATTACATATAGGATGTATTTATTGGTGGGAGCGAAACATCTTCAACAGTAATCGAGTGGGCAATTTCTGAGTTATTAAAGAACCCTAGAGTAATGAAAAAGGTGCAAGATGAGGTGAGACAAGTAGTCAAAGGAACAGAAACCCTTATCAATGAGGTAAGTTTGGACAAGCTCAAGTATTTGAAGCTTGTAATCAAAGAAACTTTCAGGCTTCATCCTACGCCTTTATTGATCCCAAGAGAGTCCTTCGAAAGATGTGAAATCGATTGTTATGAAATACCTTCTCAAACTCGAATTTATGTCAATGCATGGGCTATTGGAAGAAGTCCAAGACATTGGATTGACCCAGAAAAATTTAATCCTGAAAGATTTGAAGAGTCTAAAATTGATTACAAGGGAATGCATTTTGAACTGATTCCATTTGGCTCCGGAAGGAGGATGTGCCCAGGAATGTCACTAGGTATTGCCACAGTTGAGCTCGGGCTAGCCATGTTGCTCTACCATTTTGACTGGAAGTTACCAAATGGAACTGGACCCGAAGAATTGGACATGGATGAATCCTTTACCATTGGGGCAAGGAGGAAGAATGACTTGAAAGTAGTTCCTATACTATCTACTTTCTCAGGTTTCAATTAATATGATGGTGTTTTGTTGCTATACTACTACACTAGTAGTATATATTCATCAAATCAAGTAGCAAAAAGTGTGATAAATAATGATGAGAATGGAATTTTCCGTTTGAGTGCCATCATTATTTGATTATCAATGTTATTTTATTATTATAACGTTTTATCTATCTTTTAAATTAATGATCTTCTGATCAATTATATTGCTTGTAATATATACTATAATATTATGAAAACTCAATGGGATAACATGGTTTTGCCGTGTGTCATCCTTCATTTAATATATTTGGCGCCACATGAGTAATGACATGTCAAAACCTATTCTTCTACACTAAATATCAAAATTCAATGCAAAATTATGATTGAAATATAATTTGAATTGCTAAGCATAAAAACAAACACTTACCATCAAACTATCAATGCCTCTCTTATTGTTGTTAATAAAATGATTTAACCTACGTGATGTAACTATTTAATTTGACTGTAATGCTCCTTATTTCGCAACTTTGTATTAACTACTCAATACTATATTCTTGTTTTATAATTATTTATTATTCATTTAATAAGCATATCTACATTCCTTTTTTAATTTCAACTTCAATTCAATATTGAAATTTTGTAACAGTTGATGAGATCAAATATTTCCACCATATATTTTTTAGTTTACTCCCTATAATGTCTAATCTATCAAAGTAACTAATTAAATCATTAATATTGAAATTTTTTAAAAAATAACTACAATTTAATAAAAATATAAGCAATGACCCAGGATATCGTACGGGCCAAAAAATTAATTATTATTTAGGGTCTTTTGTTCCAAATTCACTATCGATCTTATCTTATTTTTGGAAAAAGTGAGTTTATGTACTTTTAATAACTAGATATTGGTCTGCGCGATGCCCTATAATATATTATTATTATTATTATTATTATTATTGTTGTTGTTGTTGTTGTTGTTGTTGTTGTTGTTGTTGTTGTTGTTGTTGTTGTTGTTGTTACTACTACTACTAAAGATTTATTTATAAAAGTATTAATTTTATAAAAAGGACGTAATTAATATTTAAGTTGTTCATGCACAACTAGATTGGAGTTTATATTCTATGTCTTTGGGTTTATTGTTGAAGAGTTATTGAATAAGAGTTATCGGTTATTGTAGGGGGAATTTCAAGTTCGTAATTAGGAGTTTCGTACTTGTGTGCAAAAGATCAAGGTACGTATTCGTGGCTAGATCTTTAGCTATGTGATTTTATTCATAAATGTGTTTTATGTTTTGAATGATGAACTATGTTTGAACGTTGAACAATGATTTATGAATGTTTATAAAATAAATCTTGTAAGCTTGTTTCAATAAAAACGATGGTTTGATATTTAAATGCTTTATAAGCTTGGTTGTAAACTTACTTGGTTTACTAAATTGTTTAAAAAGGAAATGTTATCATTTTAATCATCCCATACATGGGAATTGGAAGGTTGATTTATCAAAGATGTTTATTGGATTTTTCTTGACTCCCACTATGCGGAGATAAATGATAAGACTATATTATGAGCTTTGTATGATCCAGTCTTTCCTTGAGTATAGACTATGTAAATGAGTTACTAGCTTGAGGGGTGTGCACACTTAGGTTGGGAAAATTGTTTATGAAAGGGTTGATTATTCAACCTTTGTTGGAAAATACTTTAGAAAATTATAATTTTGGAACGTTTTCCAAAATATGAAATCTTGTCTATGGAGAGTTCGAATAATCAGGTTTTATGAGAATTATATATTTCGAAAGGAAATTTTAATCAACTAAACTAATTTACGTGTTTAGCACTTGTATGTACTTAGCATTTTTGCTAACACGTATTTCTCTTTTGTTTTGGCTTTTCCCTACTTATCATTTATGATGAGTAGATAGGTGATGGCGATGACTCAACGTGAGCTAAATGTTGCATCGGGGACGAAGGGCAAAATCACATAGTCTAGGTTCACTATTATGAATTAGTATGAGTACTGTAGACACCCATTTGTGTCTCCCCAAAACCAAAACCAATGATGAGTACCTTTCACGTCGAATCATAATCAAATGAAGTGAAAGTGTGGAAAGTTTAGTGTTGCGGATAGTTTTAATTTCTTTTCTTTTCTCTCTGTTTTTGAAAACCTATTTTAAGAAAACAGCCAATCCAGTTTGGTTGGTCCATGATATGGTCCAATAGTAGTGTAGTTGGATAGGGCTTGAAAAGACCTTTCCGACGATATATTATAAGCCCAATTCCGATAAATATTGAGGAAGTTATGGCCAAATTACTGAACTGGACCCGGTTTGAGCCTTATATGCGGCCCAATGATCTAGAGGAGGGCCTAATATGGATTTATCATTCTAATGCAATTAGGAATGGTTTTAGTCTTTGTAGGGAATAATTTCAAGCCTTTAAAAATCCCACTAGCTTGAACCCCACTGTGATCATACACTAAAGTACGGTGGCGTCCAAAAAGGAAAAAAAAAAAAGAGCAAAAGAGTCGCCAACAAGTTTTTAAGGAACTTGTAAACCGTTCACGAGGTGAAGGTTATACCCCTTAACGATCCAAGAGAACGTCAACTCCATAAGGTCATGAACCAAATAAGGGTCCGGGGATGATGGTACAAATCCAACCTAAAAGAGATTGAACCTGCCCTAATAATAGGCCTCTACTTTATTATGCTCGTATTCATGTGCGCTTTCTGACTAACATGCAATCAATAGGATTAACCCTAAACCTGTTTAATTTATGTTGGTTGAATTTTAATGCACAAATAAACTATTATTGGCGATCACTTGAATTTATAATCACAATTAACCTAACAAGATTATTAATTATCTTATTAAGCGTGTCTGCAAATACCAATTCCCTTTAAACATGCAATAAAAGGTGATCAAGCAATAACAATAAATAATCAAGCAACATAATAATAATCATAATCATAATAATCATAAATATTAGGGAGAATATAGGAAGCATCATACTTTTAATCATACTTAATATTAAAAATACCCTAGACATGATATTAGGAATCAAAATAACAATCTAAGCATGATATCTACATCATAATATCAATTAATCTTTAAAGTACTTACTTGGATGCCTCGTACCTCTTTCTAATTACAAAATACACGCGTTAGTAACTTCAAAGAAAATAATAATCAAAGCAATTAAATTAAATAATTGAAAGAGAGATTTGGGACCAAACCCTCAGAAATTAAAACCTTTCACGTCTAGGGCGAAGGCAACTTCGAATATGGCTAGGTGTTTCTGGATCTTGTGAATGCGGAATTTTGTATTAAAAAGCAAAGAAGAAAGAATGCATGAATTAATGTTATTGAAAATTGATGAATGAATGATGTAGATGATGAAAAGAATTGATGAACGGTAATTGATGAATAATTTTGTGAATGAAGAGAGTTGATTATTAGTAATTGATGATGAAAACGGTGTTTTTGATACGATATTTATAGAGAAAATCATCCAAAAAAAGGATAATTTATCAAAACAGAGTCTGAAGACCACAAAAACACATTGGCGCCAGGACCAGTGGCTAGCGCCAGGCGCCAATGGCTGGCGTCTGGCGCCAATCCTGATTCCAGGCGCCAAGGCCTGGGGTTGGACGCCAAATTGGATTTCAACGCGTTTTCGAAAATCTGATAAATTTCCCGTACTGGAAGATAAAATAATATAATTTCAGTCAAAAATGCTATTTGATCTTGATTAAAACTCTGAAAAATCCTAATTGAATTAAAAATGATAAGACCTTCAAGAATGTTCTAGAAGACTAAAACCATTCCTAATTACATTAGGAATGATAAATCATATTAGGCCCTCCCCTAGATCATTGGGCCTACTTAAAGCTCAAACCGGGCCCAGTTTAGTAAATTGGCCATAACTTCCTCAATATTCATCGGAATTGGGCTTATAATATATCGTTGGAAAGGTCTTTGCAAACCCCATCCAACTACACCACTATTGGACCCATATCATGGACCAACCAAAGTGGATTATCTGTTTTCTTAAAATAAAGTTTTCAAAAACAGAGAGAAGAGAAAAGAAGAGAAATAAAAACTTTCCGCAACACTAGACCTTTCCACACTTTTGTTTCATTCGATTATGATTCGACGTGAAAGGTACTCATCACCGGGTTTGGTTTTGGGGAGCCCCACTTTGACTGAGTTTGGAGAAACGCAAGTTTCGAAAACGAAAGCCAAAGTATCGATAGGGACGGAGAATGATTCAGAACGTTCGGCGATCCTAAATCAATCTTATAACGCCGATACCTGCAAAACTAGCATTAGTTAAACAGATAAAAGAGTTAAGAAATGCGTATCTTGCACCGTCGAGCACACGTCTCTGAAAGTAACCGATTTTTTTGATGACCTCCTGCAAGCTAGAGAATGCCATCCCGCTTGAAAACTGCTATGCCTTGTAACTGCTTCCAAATTAGAAGATTTCTTTTCCTGAAACTATCCTATCCGCTGTGATAATATTCCACGTCCAGAGGAATATCATCGAAAATTATTTCTCTTGAAATAATTCTCATCCGCATTATGATCATCCTCCATGCCTCAGGAACTATGATCGAAGACAATTTCGCCCTAAAATTACCTTCAGTTGTTCATGACAACTTTCCGCAAGCTAGGGAATGATGTCGAAGACATCTTCTCTTGAAGTCATCCTCATTTGATGCGATAATTTTCCAAAGGAAAATACCGAAGATCCACGCCTGTCGATCTTTAAAAGTTCGCCTGAACTTGCCTTTGCTATGCCTATATGTCGGCGCTCTTTTGCTCTTGAACCTGTATGTCGATGCCCTATGCTCTTGAACCTATATGTCGGTGCTTTTTGCTAATGAGCCAATGCTTAGGCGCTTTAAGCTAAGTGAGACGAATTTTTCATCAGGTCGATCACTTTACATAATCAATCCGATTACCTAATAATGTCAAATTGCTTAGAGGGGCTGACTGGTGTACCAAGGAACCCAAAATATATTGCAGAAGGCTAGCACAACCCCAACAGGTGGCTGGCTGCTTTGGCGTCGCTGAAAATCAATCAGCGCCAGCCTTATGGCATTAGCGCCATGCGCTGGTATTGGCGTCTGGCACCAAGCACAAAACGTGACGCCAATGTCTAGGGACTGGCGCCAGCACGGATTCTTCTTTAAATTCAGTTTTTCGTTTTATTTCTTGCTCTGTTCGTCACGAAACAACCCGAGAGAAGTCCGAAAACTTCAATTGATCGTTGCTCACTCATTTCTCAACCGAATTTGCTCAAATTTGTTGCAAATCAAAGCTCTTG